AGGAATCCTGGAGCTGCTGCTGGAGAAGAGCAGAGAGTTATGGGGGTCAGGAGATCTCGAGCCTGAGGGTTGATGGTGATGGATGAACAGAGTCCTCCCCGGACGCCGGCCATGGACGGAAGAGAAGGGGAGAAGAAGAAGGAAGGAAGTTGTCTTCTGTGATCTCTGAGCTTACGTAGCTCTATGGAATGGAATATCTTGGGCCAGTTTTGCTGTCCATCTAACTCAGCCTCCTACGGGGGGGTCACAGATCTCCCCATAGTGTCTGAGCCGGCAGAGTGAAGGTGCGACCTTGAAGCCTCAGTAGTTAGAAAAACATTCCAGTGTCTTATCAGCCTAGCAGAGCACACTGTTGCTAGTTAAAAGAAAGCTTACTGAAGGAGAAAAAAATCAGTAAAAAGAAAAATTGGCTTCATCCTGGCTCAAACCAGGACACTGTTGAATTTCAGTGCTTTGCATTTCCTCCAACCATATTGAGTTTGTATCCTTACTTTAGGTATATATTGTTAAAATTTGTAAGGTTGAAGTTGTTGGTTTGTTTTTGTACTCTTGACACAGTGCAGTGAAAGTGAGGTGAAGAAGTCTGCAGATACAGCAAGGACTATTTGTATACTTTGAATTAAATATATGCTTATATTTCTTTACTTGAGTTTCTTTAAGTGGGAAATGAGGTTACTATACAACTAGCAAACCAGGCAAATACTTTTACAGAAAAAAGATGTCATTCAATCCAAGCCAGTAGTTGACATGGAAATTTAAACCTGTGTCAGCATTTCAAGGGGTGAAATTACAGAATCACCAAGGCAGGAAAAGACCTTAAAGATTATCAAGTCCAGCCTATGACCTAGTGCCACCACAATCCTGGGGAAAAAATGCCTTAGCTGGAGCAGACATTGTCTGCGAGATCAATCCATGTTTGTTTGAGTCCAGACCTGCATAAGACTTAAAATAAGGTCACATGAATAGTAGGGTTGTCTTCTCTCCATCCATTGCCTGACTCTAACATGTTGTATTTGACCTTCCTTGAATGTGGGCTTGAGAACTGGAAAGTGCTACAAGAATTTAACATACCATTTCTCTTTTCTCTCTCACACTCAAATTAAAATACAAGAGAATCTGGCAACATCTGAAGTGGATGAAGAACCACAGAGCTCCCTAGGGAGACAATAAGTTCTTGCCATTGCAGTTGGAGAAGGGCAGACCTGCTGTGATTCAGTCTTCATATGCAGAGATCAGGCTTAACTGCTCTTTGCCCTTCATTTTGTCACCTCCTTCACCCTCCACCCCCTCCAATCCATCTTATTTTTCTAAAGAGTAGAGGAAACATGCAGCTGTCAAGGAGTGAGCAATGCAGTTCAATGCCAGTGTATCTGGGCTTTGCCAGCTGTCCAGCATCACACATCCATGAACATGAAGCACCTTTGATTACATTGAAATGCGGTGAGAAAAAGGTGGTGTTGTTCTTCAGCTTTAGTAGATGAGATAGGGTGGATGGTGATTAAGAGCTCATTTGGGAAGCAGTCAGATTTTATTGCTCTTCTGGTTTGTAAAGAATTTATTGGAGATGTGTTGAAGTGTCTGCTTATGCAGACTCTGAGGAAAATTATTTTAATGCTTCCTTAAAGAGTTTAGCCAGGTCTGGGGTCTGGCCAAGTGATACAGACAACTGAGCATCTAAAACATTGGTTAAAACTTTAGCTTTATGAGTGCCAACAGTTATAACCATCTGAAGTAGTTTTGTGACCTCTAAGAAGCAAGTGAAGAAGCATTTGTCATTGCCAACTTTTATGCTTCTCTCCTCCCCTCTCCATATCCAGCCCCAAATAATTAATGTTTTTTTACACTGACTAGCTCTTATCTGGGTGCTCCAGCAAGGAGCTGATGGACTTCAGGGTCTGTGGAGTCTAAACTATCATGTGGTTTATGGAGGTAAATCTGCTTTGGTAAGTGTAGTTGTTGTTGAAGTAGGGAAAACGATGTGTAGGTTGTGTTTGAGAATAAGGCCCTGGTTACAGCAGTACTGTTCTGCAGATTTCTCTTTCAGAGACAGCCCCTAGCTACTCAATGAAAGAGCCAAATTCCATGCTTGGTTACTGCATGGAGTCCCAGTAAAGTGACTGTGATATTTATTATTTGCTTGTAAGGCAAAACATAAAATTTGGCTCTTTTTTGATGGAACATGTATGATCCTAGCAGAAATTATTTGTAATTAATTGCAGTAAGAGAAAAATAGATCATAACTGAATACTGGCTTACCTATTATTAGTTAGACCCTTGGTTTCATACTGTAGAGTCAGTGCGTGGCATACCTCACAAAATACTGTTTTTTACACTAGCAAGAATGTAGTGAGTGCTCTGTTTCCTTTTAAAATAGTCTAGCTGAAAAGTTACTGAAAATTAGAATGACTAATATTTACCTTTTGAGAAAAACAATTTTGCATGTGTGTGTTTTTAAACAGTTCCTGCTTAAGTGCAGTGGTTTTAATCACCTGTTACTGTCTGTTTGATTAGTTTCATTGTTGTTCAGGTACCTGAAGCTCCTTTTTTTAAGTCGCTGGTCCTACTTAATTGAAATTAATGTGCCTACACTTGATGCAGAGCAGATTTGTGTCCTAGGCAGGAGTTCAGTAGTCAAGGTTTCTTAATTCTTC